TGTGTGCCCACCCTCCCCTGGCCCCASCGTGGGCAAGCCCAGCTCACACGTACGGTTGGGTTTGGTGTTATCCGCCTCCTTCTCCTCGGATGAGGAATCATCTTCATCATCATCATCYTCCGCAGAGGGCAGAGCGTCTGCAAGAGAAGAGAGGACCCTGTGAATATCTGAGTGTGGAGCTCTGTGAGTGGGGCTGAGGGGACCAGAGCATTGCAGGAGGGTGGCAGAGGCTGTGCCCAGGACAGGGCAGTGCTGGTGCCCAGGACAGGGCAGTGCTGGTGCCCAGGACAGGACAGTGCTGGTGTCCAGGACAGGGCGGTGCTGGTGCCCAGGGTGGGCAGTGCTGGTGCCCAGGACAGGGCAGTGCTGGTGTCCAGGACAGGGCAGTGCTGGTGCCCAGGACAGGGCAGTGCTGGTGCCCAGGACAAGGCGGTGCTGGTGCCAGGCAGAGCCCTGGGGATCCCCTGGGAACACCCCAGCACAGCCAGGGCCCCGTGCCTGCAGCCATAGTGAAGAGATTTGCTGCCAGAGGTGACTTTGGCATTCTGCACCCCAGTGCCACCAACACCCCTGGGGTGGCAGCCGAGACCCTGCGAGCACAGAGAGCTCCAGCCTGGAGCTGCTCCCTGTGCAGCCTCACACTCCATCAGCACCACTGAACTCATCCACGGCTCCTGCTCAGCACATTCCCCMTCTGGGGTGCCCTCCATCCCTTCAGACAAACACCAAACTCTGCACCCAGYGCTCAGGAGGGCACAGCAGCACTCTGGAAACTCTTCTGGGCACCCACCAGTGGCAGATCGGCCCCGAACTCACCGCTGTGGCCAGTGTGTGTGTGTCAAGCGTGCAGGGGGTGCAGGGGTGTGCAGGGGTGTGCAGGGTGTGCACAGACAGCCTGCTCCTCATTTCACAGCCCTGCAGCCGCCCTTTCCTTCCTCCCCTGARCAACCAGGGCCGCTACAAACCTGAGATGTTGACGGAGAAGTAGGTGGTGTCGCTGCCCGAGGGGCTGTTGGTCATGCAGGCATAGAGCCCCGAGTCCTCGGGCACCACGTCCCTGAGCTCTACCTCGTCCCCCGTGATGCGGGTGCGGTTGTTCTCGGGCAGCTGGACCCCGTCACGCACCCAGTTGATGCTCTGCACATCGTCCCGCAGCCGGCAGCGCAGCTGGAGCAGCTCACCGGGGTGGGCYGAGTACGACTCCACTTCCATTTTAGCTTTGGGCACAGCTGGAGGGTTAGGGGAGAGAGGAAGAGAAAAAAAAAGGAGAAAAGGAGTAGAGACCAAAGGAAAACCATGCTGCTGCTGCTGTGGGCTGGTTAATGAGGCGACATGCGCTGCTCCCGCTGCGGCACCGGGACACAGAACCCAGGGGACACAGGGGACCCAGGGGACACAGGGGACACCTGTCCCAGGGCACCCAGGGGACACAGCACCCAGGGGACACAGCACCCAGGGGACACAGCACCCAGGGGACACAGCACCCAGGGGACACAGCACCCAGGGCATCCAGCACCCAGGGACACAGCACCCAGGGCATCCAGCACCCAGGGCACCCAGGGGACACAGCACCCAGGGGACCCAGGGGACACAGCACCCAGGGGACACAGCACCCAGGGCACCCAGGGGACACAGCACCCAGGGGATGGAGCTGGAGGCAGCAGCAGAGCAGAGGAGAGGCAGAGGCTGCAGCACCGCGAGCAGCACCCAGGGCTTTCCTCCACAGCAGGACCCACTCAGTGCCTGGGCAGTTCCAGAACCCTCACCCTTCTCTGCTCTTATGGAGCGTGACAGAGCAGGGCACTCCCAACGGGGGACAAACAGAGATCCTGCTGCATGGCAGGATCAGCCCCTCCAGAAGCACCCCAAATCCCAAATCCCAAATCCCAAATCCCAAATCCCAAATGCTGGGCTCTGCCCCCTGGCAGGGGCTCAGGCTCCCAGCACCACAAGCAGCCAGCGAAGCAGCCAGGGCAGCCCTGGTTAGAGCAGGGCAGGGCAGGGCTGGGGCTGCAGCAGGACAGGCAGGCAGCGAGGGGGACAGGGCAGCCTGGAGCTCTGGGCAGATCAGGGACAGCCACGGCGTTCCCACTGCAGATTCCTGGGCAGGGACATTTGTGTGAGCAGCACAAAKATCCTTCTCTCCATCCCGCCGGGACACATCTCATCTCTCCAGCCCTGAGGAACCCAGGGCTCTGTCCTCAAGTGCTGCCCTCATGGTGGGTGCTGAATGAATGGAATGGCTCTCCTGGTCCAAGCTTGGGGAAAATGCTGAGTTTCAAATGATCTGTTCAAATCCCAGAGCCCAAGGAAGGGCTCAGCTCTGCTGGGGCTCCGTGTGACGGTGTGGATGCAGCGTGAGCATCATCCCAGAGTGAGATGGGCACAGCTCCACAGCCCGACCCTTCGGGCACTCCTTCACCTCTGTCTTCTCCCTGGCAATTCTGCTCCCTGTGTCCAGTTGTTCCTGGCCATTGGGTGCCACTGGGATGCTGCAGGAGCAGCAAGAGGGAGCACCAGATGATGCTCTCAGGGGCACGAGACTGGGCTGAACAAAGCAGCAGAAACAGCCAGGAAATGTTGGAGCTTCAGGAAACAGCCAGGAAATGTTGGAGCTTCAGCTGATCTGTGGCTCAAGGGCTGAGCCCCCCAGGAGTTCTGGGTTCCAATGATCTGCTCCCCACAGGAGTTCTGGGTACCAATGATCCTGTTCCCCACAGTTCTGGGTTCCAATGATCCTGTTCCCCACAGTTCTGGGTACCAATGATCCTGCTCCCCACGCTGCACACGTGCCCTGAACAGCCACAGAGCCCTGGGCTGATGGCTGCAGCGTGGCACAGGGACTCAGAATGCCCCAGAAAGCAGCCCGGGGTGTGGGCAGCAGGGGCTGGCACTGGCAGTGGGGTCTCACTCCTCCCTGCACCCAACAGCCACTCTGTACAGCCAAAAATGAAACCTCAGCTCTCCACAACTCCGATCCCCCACACCGTGGGCCACATTTCATCTTCTGGCCACTTCTCTTTGCCTTGGACTGATGAGAAACTTCATGGGAAAAACATCCACGGGCAGCTCCAGAGATTCTCCTCCCTCTTGTGCTCAGCACTTGAAGGAAAACAGTGGGATGGGGAAGYGGCTTGAGGAAGCAGTTCCAGGTTCAGGAGAGTCCCTTCCCAACGGCCACAGGTCCTGGGGTCCCCTGTGCAAGTGCCACAGGTTCTGGGGTCCCCTGTGCAGGTGCCACTGCTCCTTCAGGCCCTCRGGTGTGGGGCTGATCCCCTTTCAAAGCTTCCAGACACGTCCTGCAGCCCCACTGAGCCAGGGGCTGGTTTGGAAAAACAGCACGGCTGGGAGGAACGGCGGGTCCAGGGGATGGATGGAGGGGAGGCAGAGGGGCAGAGGGCATGGCAGTGTCCAGGGATGGATGGACAGAGGGCACGGCAGTGTCCAGGGATGGATGGACAGAGGACACGGCGGGTCCAGGGGATGGATGGAGGGGAGGCAGAGGGGCAGAGGGCATGGCAGGTCCAGGGGATGGACAGAGCAGAGGGCATGGCAGGTCCAGGGATGGATGGACAGAGGGCATGGCAGTGTCCAGGGGTGGATGGACAGAGGGCACAGCGGGTCCGGGGGATGGATGGACAGAGGGCACAGCAGGTCCAGGGATGGATGGACAGAGCAGAGCAGAAGCAGAGGGCACAGCAGGTCCCTGCTCTTTGGTCACCCACAGCTCCCCTCTGGCCCTCGGGATGAGGCAGCAAACGCAGCCTGGTGGGAACGGTGTGAGAAGGAATTCACAGGGTAACGAGCACGTCCAGGTTTGCTCAGCTTCCCTGCAGCCCTGGCAGGCAGAGAGCACCGTGGCCACTGGACAGCACGGACGGGCCAGCACCGGGATGGCAGCGAGGCCACCGAGAGCTGCTGGTGGGAGCCACGGCTCTGCTGTGGCCTSTGCTCTGGTTAATGATTGCTGCACTCGTTAGCCCGGTGTGTCCTTGTCTCATGTCCTGCTTTCCTGGAATCCAAACCACGGCATGGCTGCAGCCCCACAGCAGAGTCCTACAGCTGAGCCCCATGGCAGAGCCTCAGAACACAGCCCCACAGCCCCACAGCACAGCCCCACAGCCCCACAGCACAGCCCCACAGCCCCAGAACACAGCCCCACAGCCCCACAGTACAGCTCTGGGCCAGCTGCTCCCCAGGGGCACAAGCCAGGCCCACAGGGCCACCTCTCCCCAAGTTTTTTAGCCAGACAAACCCTTGGCTGTCACCCCGAGGCTCTGGGTGCCCCCAGCACCCCACAAAGGTTGGCTAGTGGGAGTCCTCACCCTGGCCAGGAGGTGCAGGGTTGGTCACAGCCCCTCTGAGCACTCTGGGACAGTGGGGACAGAAGGGAACACCAATGTCCCAGTGCCACAGGCGCTGTGTTCTGCCCGTTGGGAGCCCCCAGGACCCCCCCGAGGCGAGGGGCAGCTCCAGAAACCGGGACAGCCCGGGTTTATGACCCTGTTCCAGCTTTGGAATGGAACCGAGAGCAGAGCTGAGCCCGGCCAGATGGAGAGTGTCACCAAGTGCATAAACTGTCACTGTCACCCCGGGGACAAGGACAGCAGGGACAGGAGGAGCCGCTCACATTGGGCTGGCAGTGCCCCCAGGCTGGGCACACAGGGGACCCCCGGCTGTCCCCTGAGTGGCTGTGACAGCCCCAGGCTGGGCACACACAGGGACCCCCGGCTGTCCCTCGGATTGCTGTGACAGCCCCAGGCTGGGGACACACGGGGACCCCCGGCTGTCCCCCGAGCGGCTGTGACAGCCCCAGGCTGGGGACACACGGGGACCCCCGGCTGTCCCTCGAGTGGCTGTGACAGCCCCAGGCTGTGCTGGCCACGATGGCAATAAAGGGGCCAACAAAGCGGCGCGGGGACAATGCGGTTGGGGGGCGCGGAGCCGCAGGCGCCGGTTGCCCTGGAGACCCCAGCGGGGCTTTCCGAAGGTATTTCCTGAAGAAAAAGCACACACATGCCCGGCAGCCCCACTAATCCCAACAGGAAGCGCTTACCGGGACGGGGGATTGGCTTCTTTTTGATTTAAAAAGCTCCTCGCCCTGGCGAGTCCCCCCCAGCCCGGGCTGTGCCGGGGGCGATCCCGAAGGGAACACCGGAGCACCCCGGGTGATCCCAGAGCTGAATATCCCTGATCCCTGATCTCTGCTCCATTCCTGAGCCCTGCTCCATTCCCTGCTCCATCCCTGCTCCATCCCTGCTCCCTGATCCCAGAGCTGCACATCCCCGATCCCTGCTCCATCCCTGCACCCCGGGTGATCCCAGAACCGAATATCCCCGATCCCTGCTCCATCCCCGATCCCTGCTTCATCCCTGCTCCATCCCCGATCCCTGCTTCATCCCTGCTCCATCCCCAATCCCAGAACCGCATATCCCTGATCCCCTGCTCCATCCCAGATCCCAGAGCCGCATATCCCTGATTCCTGATCCCTGCTCCATCCCTGATCCCTGCTCCATGCCCTGCACCCCGGCTGATCCCAGAACCACATATCCCTGATTCCCTGCTCCATCCCTGCTCCATCCCCTGCTCCACCCCTGATCCCCGGTTCCATCCCTGATCCCCTGCTCCATCCCATATCCCCTGCTCCATCCCCTGTTCCATCCCCTGCTCCATCCCCTGCTCCATCCCCTGCTCCATCCCCTGTTCCATCCCGATCCCTGCTCAGGGAAAGCAGCCGCAGGGAATTGCCCACAGATGAGTGTCAGTGGCCCAAGGCACCCGCGGCTCTTGGAGGGCTCAGGGCAGCCCCAGCTCCTCCTGTCCAACCACCCTCCACTCCCTGGATTCTCCTCCTCAGGGACAGGGGATTTATGTCCCGCTCCAGGCCCTCCTGCACTGCAAATGAAGCAGCACTTAATTAACAGGCGTGCTGGGAGTTTGCAAAGCTGTCAGGATAAACCCAGCCCTTTCCCCCGGGTCCATGCTCAGAGCTCCAGCAGCACTCCCAGCCCTGGAGGCAGCGCTTTGGGGCACACAGACCCCTCCGTGGGCTCAGCAGTCACCAGGGAACACCCCAATCCMTTTTTGGCTGGCTTTGCTTGGCTCTGGCCCTGCTGGAGCTGTGTCTGTTCCTCTCCTGTCACACAGGGGAGGGGGCTCCAAGCTGGCACCCCCAGACTCGTGGGGACCCTCCTGTCCCCCGGTGCAGCTCCGCTCACCCCGGGACAGCTCCACAGCCCGGGCAGAGTGCGGCAGCTTTTCCCAAACACTCACATTTCCTTTTYCCCCTCAATTAAGGGGCAGAGCGACAGCACCCGAGTGGAAAGGCGGGAGGAGGGAACAATGCCGGGACAGGAGGGGACGGACGGCAGAGGATGCCCCGAGAGCAGAGCCGTGTCTGGGTCTGGGGGTGATGCTGGGACCCCCCAGCTCCGGGAACAACCCCGGG